ATGACTCTACTCACTGCAAGAACTCTTCTATTCACCTGGTCCTGCAACAAACAAAAGTTTGTTGAGAACAAACAATCCATTTTTGAATCACTAGCCAACTTACTAACTAAAATGAGGTTATATTTGAAAGAAGGAACATATAAACAATCTGTGAGGGGTAGAGTATCTGAAAGCATGACATTGCCAATATGATCAACACTTTTCATGCTTCCTTAGGAAGGAAAACTGGGGTAAAATGTTTGACTGATTGAAAGGTTGAAAAGAGTTTTAAGAGTGCACTCATGTGTCCAATAGCTCCTATATCTGTAAACCATAAACTAAGAAATAACAATTGTTCAGAAACACGTAAAGAACTCAGTGCTTGAAAGGTGCTCATACCTAAGAAATCATGGTAATGAGGAAAGTTGACTTTATCATATCCATCTGCTGGTTGCTTCCCTTTCATGAGCCTTCCCATGTCCCGTTGCCGCTTAAGAAGTGCTCCCAGCATGTGTTGCATGCTACTATTGTCCCCATTGATCCCTTCTGGCTACTGCTCAACCTGTGAATCAGTCAAGTTTGCCAGATGATTGCCTAATTTCTGCCCTTGAAACTGTCCTTGAAACTGTGGTTTCTTCCCTTCTTTGTGATTATCATACCACCATTCCAGATATCCAATAAGTTTGAAACAGCCTTCTTTGAGATGACCTGGCATATGATAATGATCACACTTAAGTAACTTTCTTGCAGCTCTGTCCTTTCTGAAATCATTCTCCCTAACAGTTTTGTTGAATCTGTTGTTTTGGATAATCATAGCTGCATCTGAAACATGGTTGTCTTGTTGTTGCACCTTCATAGCATTTTGTTCAATCATAGATCCATAGGTAACGTTAACCTGAGTTCCATGGAATAGGCCTTTTTCCCATCAGGTAAAGGTTCCATCAGAAGGACCTAATTTCTTACAGCTGTGTAACAATCATTCAGCCCTATCAAAAAGTGATACAATTTGTTCTTTCCATCTCTAATACCAGTTGATTTGACTGCAGAGGTAAAACCACCACATCCACATCCTTCAACAGGATCTAAAACATTTAACTCATCCCACAACCTTTTAATCCTGGAGTAATAAAGAGCTACAGATTCATTTCCTTGATTAATTGTGCATATCTCCCTGAGTAATTGATATATCTGTGGTCCGTTGTTAGTTCCATGCCAATATTTCAATTCTTCCCACAGTTCAAATGATGTTTCTACCATTGTATAATTCTCAACAAGCCCAGAATAAATTGAATTAAGGATCCAGGCAACCACATTATCATTCACACATAACCATTGCCCATAGTCTGGACTTTGAGGATTAGGTTTATCATAGGTACCTATAATGAAACCTAATTTGTTGTGTGAACCAAGAGCTCGCCTCATTGCATAACTCCAGGCCACGTAATTCAGATCTGTGAGCTGCATGTTAATCGGAGTAAGAACAGAGTTACCAGAAGGCAACATCATGAGAGGATGATGATATCCACCAAATTGAATCGCATCAGCCACTCGCCTTCTTCTTTGAAGCTCATCCATGCAATGCGCACCACTTGACTTCGTCAGATTCGCCATTAATTCCAACGAATTACCACCAGAATTGAAGAACAAGAACCTCCGATTATTTGCAGCGGAAGTTGTGTATCAATTAAAGCTACTTATTCTATGGCTATCCGAGCAGGATTATTCCCGCTCTGATTCCATCTTGAATCTATGGATCAGATTATTGTAATTGGAAGCTTAATCAAGAACTTAGGGTTTCAGATTGTAGAAAGAACTTTACTCTTTCAAGTTGGAATTTGAACTTCGTTAACTGTACAAGTTGTTCTGTATGAGTATCTATACACAAACGAAATACGTGCTGATCACGTCTAAAAAGTACTAACTGCCAACTTAGCTAACTACCGTATTCTGTACATAATTTACATAACTCTAGTGTATTTACAAAGCTGGCCCCTATAGTATTAACTATGTACAAAATTAACCTTGATTATGTTCAACCAGTCTTCACATGATCAAGGTGGATCAGCCACTTCTTGATCTTAAATCTCTACATCATTCCGTTGAACCCAAAAAAAAAAAAGGAACCAAAAAAGAACCAAGTAGTATTTACTTATCAAAAGACAAACTCTTCAAAAGTGTTATCTAATTACTTGTCCAAAGACATTTCTAGGCCTTAGACACAGCGACATTGCACGATAGGCGTTTAATTAGATATTAATTTTCGAATCTCATTTTGTTTTCGTCACTATATCCAAAAGAAAATGAAACTCTACTTGATCTAAATCCGTCAAACACCATCACCACTAATCACTGCAAAATTTTAAATATTATCAAATAAACTCATGCCATCTATATAAACTCATGCCGCATTTGTCAATCTCTTTGTATGCGGTTCACAAAAAAAAAATCTGGAAAAAAATCAAATTTGATTGTGTAAAATAAATATATGACTTGTCACAGCTTGTTATTGGGATACTAATAGCTTAAAGGAATTTTGGCTGGTATTTAGTTTAAGGAAATTGAGTTTTAAAGATTTGAAAGATCATATCACTTTCAAATTTAAGATTATTTTATTTTTAATGTGAATTATCCCACCTGAACATAGTTACCTCATTTTAAATAATTTTCTTCATCATCCCACATTTTTCTTGCATACTTTCACCCATTCCAACTAAAGATCCAAAATTCAAGGAAAAAATAAAAAGTAACCCGCATGTAGCATGAGTAATGTCTTTAGACAAATGGGAGAGTAAAATTAATATTTTCCTCTGAGAGAGATTCGTGGTAACTTTTATGCGAAAAGGAGATATATTTATAGTGGTTATGGTTTTGGCTTAAGGAGCATCGCATGATCGATCCGTTTAATTAAGTGATTTTTTTTAATTGATTTAATTACTATATTTTAAGTTGTGTTTATCCCTTATATTGTGGGATAAAACAATTTCTGTGAGAAGAACTGGTCGAATGTAAATGTGAATGTGAATACCTTAACTTCATAAAAAGGATAACAAAATTAAAAAAAATGGATAACAATATTAATCTTATTTTATATATACCTTAACTTAATTATGTTCGATCATGACTATATTTTCTATAACATAGATTAAGTTTAAATTTTAAATTGATATTAATTTTGGGAATATAAGATTATCTTAACACTGTTATCTTATCTTTTAATAAAAAGCCAACTAATTAAAATATAACTCAATTCATAATAAAGTTATAAATTAATGGTTTTACTAATACATTTTAATTGTTTAATGAAGGACCAATCATCAAGTGACACATGTTAATGGAATCAATTGGAGGGCAATTGGATGACACGTCATCACTTCATCCTCTTTCCTTTAATATATATATAATAATTTCAATCTAATTTGTTAGGTACTAAAGTTGTTATTTCCTCTGGTCATGCCTCTCTCGTGTACTTGTTAGAGACGAAGTAATTTAAAACCACGACTCATTCAATGGATCTTCTACTACAAGAATTTGATTGGGAAATTAAAGAAAAAAAGGAATTGGCAATTTTATTTCTGATTCTCTTAGCCAGTTGGTGCATGAGGAAGAGTTACAATCAATTTAGAACTCTTCCCGGAATGAGTATTTAAGAGCAATTAATGGAAACCAAGGTAAGGAACCCTGGTTTGCTGATATAGTTAACTTTTTAACTACAAGTAAATTTTCACCTAGCATGAGCACTTTCCAAAAGAATAAGTTCAAAAGCACTTCAAAGAATTATTGGATGAGCCTTATTTTTTAAAATTTGGGCCAGATCAAATTATTGAAAATGCATTCCTGATGATGGAATTCATAAGATACTTACTTATTGTCATGATCATGCATGTGTGGTCGACATTTTGGTCCAAGAAGAACAAGAAGAAAAATTTTAGATGGTGGTTTTTATTGGAAATCATTGTCTAAAGATGCATATAATATTTGTAAGAGTTGTGAAAAAGGTCAAAAGTTAAGTAACATATCATTTAGGAAGGAGATGCCACAGCTCCCTTTGCTATTTTTAATAATTTGATGTTTGGAGTATGGATATTATGGGTTATTTTCCAAGTTCATTTGTGTATTCTTTACATTTTGCTTGCAGTAGATTATGTATAGAAATAGGTAGAAGCAAAAGCAACCCGAAAAAATGACTCAAAAGTTGTAGCTGAATTTCTTAAATCTAACATATTAGTAGGTTCGGTGTATCAAGAGCAATCATCAGTGATCAAGCCACCTTTTTTTTCCAACCGCACAATAGAAGCATTGATGTGCAAATATGGTGTTAATCATTGTTTATCTACTGCGTATCATCCCCAAACCAATGGGCAAGACAAGGTTTGAAATCATGCAATTAAACAAAGTTTGGAAAAAACAGTGAACCCAAATTGTAAGGGCTGGAATCTACATTTAAAAGATTCACTTTGGGCTTACCGTACTGCTTGCAAAACTCCAATTGTATATTTTACCATACAAGTTTGTTTGTCGTAAAATGTGCCATCTACCAGTTGAAATTGGGCATCGTACTTTTTGGGCAGTTAAAAACTTTAACTTGCGTGCTGATAAAGCGGGATTGGAAATAAAGTTACAACTTCATGAATTGGAAGAAATTCAGTTGAAGGAATATGATAATGCTCAGCTGTACAAGGAAAGGACAAAACTCATTCATGATAAATTTTTGCATAAGAAAGAATTCATTGTTAGGCAGAAGGTACTTATTTTTTTATTCCAAATTAAAGTTTATGCAAGGCAAGTGGCGATCAAGGTGGCATGGACCCTTTATACTGGTTAAAAAATTTCCTCGTGGGATGATTTAGATTAAGGGCTTGGAGTCCGGTAAGAGTTTTTGAGTTAATGATCATAGAATTAAACCACTGGTGGTCCCAATATGGGTTGCACTTTATGATCTTCCTATTGAGTTCATGCATCCGAAAGTCATCTATTCGATGGCTACAGCCCTTGGTCAACCATTAAAAGTAGATACACCAACAATGAACATGACTCGTCCCTCTGTGGCTCGGTTTTGTGTTGTGGTGGATCTAACCAAGGAATTACCGAAATATGTGAAGATTGGCAAGAAGGGTCGTAAACAAGAGCAAATTTTCACTTTTGAGCAAATCCCATCTTACTGTTTAAAATGTAGTAAGATCAGGCACAAGGAGGCGGATTGTCGAGTTGGGAAGCCCTCGCAGCCAAAGATGGATGGTGATACTAATGTAGCTCTTGTCTCGAAGAAGAAAGGGATAAAGATTAAAGCAGCGAAGCCTAAATGGCCACTCAAAGGGGGGGATTCAAAGAAAGATGCTTTGGAAGTAGAAATCTTGCAGATGAACCCCCTAATAGTTAAAGGTTTTGAGTCTCAAAATGTTACTGGCAAAGATGATAATGAATCGCACCCTGCGGACGAAACCCTAGCGCGACTTGGCGCGCGCCCTGCGGAGGAAACCCTAGCTGCGGAAGAGTTGCACCAAATTGAATCCACTTCTGGATTATCCACAATCAAAAAAGGAACAATACTAGTGGATTTACAGTCCACTCTAGTAAGGGAAGAAGCAGTGCTGGAACTCCCAAAGTCAAATGCGACGGCGCCGGTGCAGTCGGAAAATCGATTCTTGGTTCTCCAAGAACAGGAAGTCGCTGATAGCGATGATGATGTGGAAAATATTCTTATTGAGGATATTAATCAAGAGAAACAGAATGTTGGAACGGAAAATGTTGAGTCGGTGATTGTAACTGAATCTCATGTGGATATTTCTAGTTCTATGTTAGAATTAGAAATGCGGAACCTATCCCCCACACCAAAGTTTGGTCCGATCCATTTTCCTGATGATTGTTTTGCAGCGGAACATCATGACAGTGACGGGGATAATGAAGAGCGTGAGTTGTGGTCTGAAGGCGAAATACATTAAGACCGTGTTGTGGAAAATGACAAAGATGAACGTTCAGTTAAGAAAAAACGTGGACGAAAACCGACGTCTAAGCACGCTAAACAAGTTGAAGGTGCTGAGTTAAGGCGCTCTATTCGACGTCAGTAGGTTCCTCTCAATTCAAAGTTTCCAATGATTAGTTTTATCTTTTGGAATATTCGTGGAATAAAGAGTCAGGTTTCTCAACGTCGTTTGAGATCTATGATTCAGATTTACAAAGTTTCTTTTGTGGTCATTCTCGAACCAATGGTTCCGCTTTTCAAATTGGAAGAAATAAGAAGAGAGCTGGGGTTTGATTTAGCTTTCGCTTCTCCCACTAGCAAAATTTGGGTGTTCTATAGTAGACTTTTTACAGTGAATATATTGATAGAGTCAGAACAGGTGCTGCACTTTGAGGTTGGATACATCCCGCTTCAAAAAAGATTTTTGGTGTCTTCAATCTATGCCAAGTCGAATAAAATAGATAGGTGCACTCTTTGGAGTAGTTTGGAGAATTTTAGAGGGGCGCGCCTTTCTTTACCTTGGGTGGTTGGGGGCGACTTTAATGTACTTCGATCTTTGGAGGAACATTCGGGATCATCGGTCCTAGATTATGGAGCAATAGATGAGTTTAATCATTGCATTGAAGCTTGTGATCTGATTGAGGTTCCTCCTATTGGTGATGAGTTTATTTGGGGTGGCACAAGGCATACGGGATGGGTAAGCAAGAGATTAGATCGTATCTTGTTTTGGTTTCACATGTTTTCGAAAACCTCGATTGAACAGCTTAGTTGAACTACTTCGGATCATTGTCCTCTCCTCCTCCAGTTTGATATACACATTGAAAGTAGGCCAAGATGCTTTCGGTTTCAGCAAATGTGGTTAAGAAGGTCGGATTTCCACAATGTAGTGAAGGAGAGTTGGTCCCAACCAGTTCATGGATATGGTATGCTAGCTTTTTCCGCTAAACTTCGCCGGCTAAAATTCAAGCTCAAACAATGGAACAAGGCACATTTTGGTGATTTCTTTGATAATTTGAAGAAAGCTGAGGAAAAGGTAAAGGAAATGGAGAATATTTATGATCTTTCTGGTGATGTGAATGATAGAATGAATCTCAACTTGGCTAATGCCACCTATCTTCAAAAGTTGAAGGAGCATAAAGACTTTTGGAAACAGAAGATGAAATTGAAATGGTTGAAGAAAGGGGATGCAAATTCATCTTTTTTCCATGCGACTTTGGTCGAAAATAGAATGAAAATGGGTATTCATAAAATACAAGGTGAAAATGGTAGAACCCTAACTGATTTAAGAGATATAGAATGCGAAGCAGTAAATTTTTTCCAGCATTTATTAAAAGAGGAACCAGCCCACTCGGAGCAAGGGGAGAAGCAAGAAATCTTTCTGAATCTGTTTCATGATGAACTTGATTATTCTGACAAGTCGATGCTTATGGGTATGGTGACAATGGAGGAGGTTAAAAATGCTGTTTTCAGCCTTGGTGAAGATAGTTCTCCCGGTATTGATGGATTTGGTGGTACATTTTATAGGTCTTTTTGGGATCTTATAGCTGATGATTTATTGCAAGCCTGTAAAGAATTCATCGGAGGAGTACCAATTCCAAGGGTTGTTGCTAGTACATTGATAACCTTGTTGCCTAAGAAGCAATCTTTTACCACCTTTTTCAGACTTCCGGCCCATCAGTCTTTGCAACTTTCTGAATAAGGTATTTACCAAAGTCTTAACAGGAAGAATGAAGAAAGTTCTACCCAAGATAATATCTGAAGAACAATCCGCTTTTCTTGAGGGGCGAGATATCATTGATAATGTGGTTCTAGCACAAGATCTTTGTCAATTTGTTACTCATAAAGCTGTTGGGAATAATTTGATTATTAAGGTTGATATGATGAAGGCGTTTGACCGGGTGTCGTGGAATTTCCTTGAAAATGTGCTTCGAAGGCTAGGGTTTCCACAGGGATTCATTGCATTGATCATGAACAATCTTCAAGGTAGCTAGTTCTCAGTAATGATTAATGGCTCTCCTTCTGGTTTTTTCAAGGCCTCTCGTGGCATAAAGCAAGGTGATCCGCTATCACCTTACTTATTTATCCTAGTAGCTGAAGCAATGACGAGGAGGTTGAATTCATTGGCTCAAGAGGGGAAGTTGGCAGTGTATGGAACTCTGGCCGGTTCTTTGAGGGTTTCTCACTTGTGTTTTGCGGATGACTTGGTAATCTTACAAGGGGACAGAAGAAATCTCTTAAAGTGCTAGATACATTCTTCAATGATTATGAGTTGGCGTTGGGGCAAAGAATGAATCGTCAAAAAAGTTTCTTCCTAGTTGCAGAGTCATGCCGCGCGAATCGGGTAGAAGTCATTGCAACGGCCTTGGGGATTCAAAAGGGATCTTTTCCTTTTACATACTTAGGCTGCAAACTGTACCAAGGAAGGAAGAAGGCTTCAATATTTCAGTTTCTTCTCGATTCTCTTGAATTGAGGTTGGCTAATTGGAAGAACAAGCTTTTATCTATGGGTGGGCGATTAATACTTTTAAGACATGTGCTAGCAGCAATCCCTATTCATGTCTTTTCTGCTATAAGTCCTCCTATTTTGATTCTTAAGCAAATGGAAAAACGGTGTCAAAGATTCTTGTGGCAAGGCACCAGTGAGGAGAAACGAAGGCATTGGCGATCTTGGGAGAGCTTAACCTTTCCGACTTTGGAAAATGGGTTAGGGCTTCGTCGGTTTCAGGATGTCGTACAAGCTTTCCCTTATAAGCTTTGGTGGAAATTTAAGCATCAAAAAGGCTTGTGGAGTAAATTCATCTCTTCTCTTTCAACTTCAGCCAAGATGAACACTACTTGGAGTAGGGTTTTGAAGGTGGAACATGAGGCGTCTAAAAATGCAAAGGCCTTGATTAGTGGAGGTGACAAACTTTTTTGGTTTGATAATTGGGCGCATGAAGGCCCTCTTTGGGGTTTGAATGAGGAACATCCACCTTTTCCACCTTTAACCATTCAAGAATTTTTTGCTAATAAAGATTTATTCTTGAATGATATGCAAGGAGTTCTTGATTGGAGAATTTTTCATGAATTGCAGCACATGGAGATTACGCTAAGGGAGGGGCGCGATCTCCTTTTTTGGCAGCATTCAACTTCTGGAAAATTTACTGTAAAATCAGCTAACTTGCATCTGAGAAGGCGGAACCAGGAAGACTCTTTGGCTAGGAATTTTTGGCATACATTAATTCCTCTAAGGGTTCCTTTTTTTGTTTGGAAACTGAAGAATTTATTGGTCCCTTTTCCGGAGATCTTGAGTACTTTTGGCATCCAGGATCGTCCATCCATTTGCTTATTATGTCGCAACCATGAGGAGCGTGTAGCTCATTGCTTTTTTAGTTGTGTTGAAGTTAAATGCATTTGGATCCATTTTGCAAAAATTTTTTCCATAAAGCTGGAGAATGTTACCTCTTTACTTGATAATTTGCAAAAATGGTGGAGTGGAGGCAATTTTGCTCTTGCTTAACAAGCCTTGATCAAGATCATTCCTTCTTTTCTTCTTTGGGAAATTTGGAAAGCGAGGAATAAGGTGTATTATGATGGGGTCCCATTTGACAAAGGAAGAGTTATACGTGATGTCTCCTATGCTGCTAAGGATGCATTATTTGTTCATGATTTGAAGGTGAAGAATGTGGAAGAGAGGGACTTTATTGAATGGTCTTTTGGATTAAGATTGCATAAAATTCAAAAACGAACTTGCATTTCGGTTTGTTGGAAACCTGTGCGCGCGGAGGGATTTGTACTAAATTCGGATGGTTCGGCTATTGAGGATGGTTCTGGCTATGGTTTTGTTATTAGACATCATGAATGAGATTTCATGTATGGGGAGCATGGTTTCCTAAGTCCCGGTGATAGTTTCGGGTCGGAGATTTATGGTCTTTTATTTGGAGTGCGAAAATGTGATCAGCTTGGCTTGGCAAGAGTTGATATTCAGACAAACAATAAGGTTTTGGCTGATCTTCTTGGTTCTTTGAATTTGATTCCATGGAAAAACTACTTTCAAATAAAGGAGATTCATGAGATAATGTGTAGGGGATCATACAGTATATCTCACATTTTTTAGGAGGCAAATGCCGTTGAGGACAGTTTAGCTGGACAAGGCTCTCTGGGCCGTTCATGTACTTATACTGGATTGGGGGCTTTACGTAGGCATACTCGTGGTCTAGTACTACTAGATCAAATCTCATTTCCTTATTTGAGAGTACGACTCAAATAGCATTGTAATTTGGTAAGTCTTAAGCACTGCCAATCTCCTTTATTTAATGGAATCACATAAAAGGGAGGGTGGAACTAGGGAACCATGTAATATGTATGTCCATCCCTTGGGTTGACCCCTTGGGTGCATTATATTATATGGCACTTGCTAACTCAAAAATTTACCTCCTGGGTAGACCCCTTGAGTTTTTTTGGGTTAGTTGGGACCTGAACGCCATCCTTTCTATTGATTTAAAAAAATTGGGAGTTTGAATATGCTTTTTTTACTTGTCTTTGTATGTTTTATACATTAACAAGGGCATATCCTAAGGGCAGTGGGTTGTAGATCTAACCAGGACGAAGACCTGCAAGACAGAGGTTAGCACTCCGAAGATTAAGTCAGTATTAATGAGAGAAAATGTAGTAACACACTTTTAGGGAGAGAATGGGAGTGTGGAACAAACCCTCTGTCATAAATGGCTTGGGTATATATAGTCCCAAGTAGTATTGTTCACGCTAGGGCTCCACAATACAATGGGTTTCCTTAAAGAGGTGAGGCATTGGGCTTAAGCATCATTATTGGGCTGGAATTCAGGATGGCTAGTATTAGGCCCATCAAATGCACCTGCCAAGCCTGGAAAGACACTAACTCTTTTGCTTGGCACCTGGACTCTTGGATGTCCAAATAAAAAAAGTGTGGCCCAAATTCTATAGCCCAACCTCATAATCATCTTCTAGGGTTTCGGTGAATCC